CCCCTCTTCAAGTTATTTTTTGTTCGCCTCTGCTGTATCGAGGTATTGAACTCACAACGCTTGAACTCAAAGACACACAGCCCAGTAGATAAAAGCGTTGGTTGAATCCAGTGGCTTGACCCAAAGAATGCCGAAACGTCGTGAATATCGCAACAGAGATGAGGACAACAGTCCGAACAATGTAAATAGTGTAAATAATTACAATACCTCATTTCAGAAATATATATATATATATATATATATATATATATATACTTAAAGAAAAAACAGACCACTTTACGGTTCCATAGTTATAATTTATTTCACCAGAGATTTTATCTTTCTCTGGATCTTCAGACTTCACTTTCTGGTAAGATACCAATATATGAATCAGCAGCAGCCGTCTCAGAACCGGGTGTGGTCGTAGGGATACTGCTCTGCTGAGTACCTGACCAGCTCCGTCTATATATAGCAATAGCAATACCATTTCGACTTCCTCTTATATTTATGAAGTCTTCCAGCAATCGTTTTTTTTTTTTTATCTTGGCCGAATTTCATATTATATTAGCCTAAGTTTTTGATTCACGTTTGTCAACATCAGGGTAGATCGTGAAAAAGAAAGGGGTAGTGTCATTATTTTTTTGAATGTGTCGTTATTTTCCGAAAACGAAATCAAATGCCGATAACACATCAATTTTTATAACACTGGACGTGCATATGCATTTCTGAATTGTTATTTAGTTATATAAATGACTGATTTAATTGTGTGAAAATGGTTTCTAAAGTATTTACAATTATATCTGTAAAGTTTTCTCGTGTTATTTGAAAGGCAGCTGATATTGTAATCCTTGTGGTGATCACGTGAGATGAATGCTTGCGACAACACAACAGGAATTTCGACCAATTTATCTACACAAAGCGACCATCTTTGCGAAAGAATATTTATACATTGGAGAAAAGATTATAAAATATCATAGACAAAAATATAAATTGTTAAAAACAATACATGAAAAGAACAATTGCAGTTTAGGCATGAAACAGGGTGTTGCCTCAGGGTGTTAAACTCAATGCATATATATTTTATATTTACATACGGTCTGTACTTGATACTGAGCACTTTAACCTATATATGTAGCATTCCTTAAAACAACATTTTATCATATATATATATATATATATATATATATATATACAAAAATATAATTTTAAAGTGTAGTATATTTATGGGATAATGTGCTCAATATCAGTGATAGAGGGTTTATAATATAAAATGAACATTGAAGTCAACCTTCATAGGCTCTGAGTGTTGACTTCAATGTTCACTTTATATATATATATATATATATATATATATATATATATATATATATATATATATATATATATACCGAATGTAACAGCAAATTTGTCCAAATTGTGTATCGGCAAAATTGTTAGAGTAAGCTTTGAACCGTTTTATCTTAGAAATGATTAAAGATATATTACTGGAATTCTCTGAAGTTTTTATAACACTATTGGACCCTATTTTGAACAATAAGAATGTATTTAATTGATGGTGATCCATCTTGCTCTTGTTCCCACTGTGAGGGTTTTTCAGTTATTCTTAGGCCAATGTTGTCAAGATGGCTAAACATTTTATCTGAAAACCTGGAAAAAAAACTCAAATAGGGTGGTGTTTTGTAGATACTAAATATTTTGTGGCATAAATAGTTATGCCATAATGTTAAACGATTTGGACAGTTTTTTGTTAAACCCGGCATATATATATATATATATATATATATATATATATATATATATATATATGATCAAGGTAAATTTGAATATGATCAAGGTAAATTTTGAAAAACTAACCACATTTTTTACTTTTGTTGATAAATACTTGTTACAAAATAAAATCCTTATATTTGCCTTGATGAAGTCCATCAGATTATGAAATGCGTGAGCTAAGTTTTCATTTTGTCTATAAGACGAGATAAGTTTTCTTTGAGTATATATATATATATATATATATAGAGAGAGAGAGAGAGAGGCAGACAGACAGACGGGCAAACAAAGAGAAATCGAGAGAGAGAGTAACCGATGGTACTGGCCTTGTTCAAACTGCCGATCACGCCAGATAATGCCCTGTCTCCCAGAAACTGTAACTAAGATCTTCTGAGCATAGTTGCAGTATATGCACCACAGTTTGGCTGCGTGGCTGTTGAAGAAACATACATGATTCTCCAGCACTCACCCGTCTGAAACAGGGATTTTCTAGCCAACTTACTCTCTCGCTCTCTCTCTCTCTCTCTCTCTCTCATACAACCCCCCCACACACACACACACTGTGTTTCTCTCTCTTTTACTCTCGTTCTCTTGCTTTCGCCTATACATTCTTGCATCCGCGCACACAAATATATATTTAGAAAGTTAGCACTCTCTCTTTTAATAATTCTTTCGCTTTATATTGCTTTACATTATATTTTAATTTCACTATCTCTTACTCTCCCTTTCTTACTCTCCTTTTACTATTTATTCA